TGTGTGTGTGTGTGTGTGTGTGTGTGTGTGTGTGTGTGTGTGTGTGTGTGTGCGTTCATGTATGTGCGTGCGTGCGTGCGTGCGTGTGTCAGTATGTGCATAAGGTGCGTGCGTGCGTGTGTACTCATGAGTGCGCGCGCGTGCGTGTGCGTCCATCCGTGTGTGTGCGTACGTGCACGTGTGTATAACGCATGCATCACGCTCATCTATCTAGTCTTCTTTACCATGGAAAATTCGTGACGTAGTCCCTTTAAACATTTTCCACACATTTACGTTGCATATAAAGTCTTCTTCACACATGTTTAACATGCAGCCGAATTTCCGCACCATGCTACCAAATTTACTTACTTCTTCTCACAGTCTCTGTTTTATGCACTAGTGGCGATTGGGGTTCCACTGACTGCAGGCTACGAGATCTCACCTAAACAACAAGAATAAGAAAAGTGATGCTTTTGCACATGCAGTGCTTCTGCTCTTGATAACTGCTGCCACCTGGTGACAGATTAAAGCAAATTAATTTATAATGTAATAACAGCTTGACCAATTGTGGAAACTGCTGCTAACAGGTTAATTTTGTCAATTGATAATGAAATGAAATTACTATTAATATTGTTATGAAGTCTCAATGTCTTAGGGTCTGTGAGTTAGTTTAGTCTGTGATAAATTCGCTGTGAAGTAAATCGCATCGAGTCGTTATTTACCTTATAACAGCTAAGCGGAAATCGGTGAACAACTTTCTAAAAACAATGCTATTTGTACGATCTTATTATAATAATTGTTCCGACATTTCATACTGTCTGTAACAAAATATTTTACTATATTTATCAAAATAATAGCATATTCTCTTTGTATTAAGTTTCCCATTTCCTTTTTTTTACGTTTAACTCAATTGCATTTAATCCTGCACAATGTCTATCTTAAGCACATACACTACCTTTCTCGCTTCTCATCTATCGTTCTCTAATGCGTAGTTTTTCACTTATGGCTGTCGTTATTTTTCTGCTGGGGTGACTCCGTAAATGCGGTGGCTGCGATATACTAGCTGGAAATATAAATAATAGATATAGCAATATATTGTGATTGAATTTACTTCAGTAGTTATTAAATATTCAAATATATCTATATTCATATTATTATAAAATTCTTTATTCTTATGATAAATTATTCAATAAATAGCACCCCACCTCAAGATAATGTATTTCGGCAAATTGTTACAGATAGTGTGTAAGGCACGATTCACAGAAACATTGGGCGTTTGGGAATTTAGCAAAAATTCTTAATGAATAATGCAGATATTGTGTTTGTGTACGTGCATACGTGCGTGTTTGTACACGTGCGTGCATGTGTGTGTGTGTGTGTGCGTGTGTGCGTGTGTAACTGTGTGTTGATGCGTGCATGAGTGTACGTGTGTACGTGTACATTGTGTACGTGTGCATGAATGTGCACGCGTGTGCGCCCGTGAATGTGTACTGCGTGTGTTGTGCGTGATATG